AGAAAAACAAGCTGATCAACCCAAACCACCTTCACAAGCACGACTTGTGTAGGAGTGAAAAAAACAGCCTCTTGGCAACAACACACTACCTTTTTTCCCATATGTCTTGGATTGGAATTATTTAAATGAGGGATTATGTGTATGTTGCAGAAAGGGAAATCAAGACGACCACAAATCGAGGAGTTTGAGGGATTCAGAAACAGCGTTTACTTATATAGAGAATAACTCCATTTGAAATATGACTTTGTAACTTTGCAGAGCTTTTTCATGCTCAAACTGCAACATTACACACCAAAGAAAGTTGAAAATAAGTTTTAAAAAAGCATAATAGAACGGCCTTTAAAATATATTCAAATTGAAAGTTTTAAATTGTAATAATACTTTATAGGGCTGTGTTCGATACATCGATGTATCGTCACATACTTGTCGATTCTGCTGAGGTGAAACGGTAGTGTGTGCATTGGTGTATTTAATTCACAATGGGTGTTGCAGCCATTCTGCATACATTTAGTCATTTCCCATTTGGAATTACTGGCTTCAAAGCAGATGCAACATGTGGCATAAGCAAATGATATGCTGATTTTAGTCATTTTTGGAGCTTGACAGCTCATGGTCACTGTATTTCTGCATTTAACTCTTAAATTGCAAGTCCATCACTGCCACTCACCCAGTAAGCAGAGACGGGGGGGTCGGTCCAGGCCCGTTGATGGAGAACACACCCATACTGCTGATGCCACTGGTGGCCATGCTGGAGTTATGGGCGGTGGCAGAGCGCTCTGGGTAGCTGAGCGGGAGGCTCTGGGGACGGGCGTAGTAGAACGGGGTGGAGTGGACGTCACGGGGCAAAGCCTGGGCAAGCAGAGCTCCATAACTACACACCTGTGGACAGGAAAATACATGACCTCTGCCCTTATACATAAATGTAAAATGACTTTCATTATGTTATTGTGCAGTATCTGCAGAATGACTGGAGAAATATTTCATACAGGAACCCGGTTGGACGGCTTCCTTGGGTCTTCACAGAGGCTGAGCAGGAGGTATAAGATGGACCATCTATGTTTCAATATGCCCTGTTCACCAGACAACAAAATCAACATGTGCACAAAACAATATGCAGTCCATGATGCATGATGAATCTATGCATCATGTATAATGGAAATATTAAGAACTCAATACATTGTAGATACTGACCTGGGTCTGAAGCTTTCTGTGCAACTCAGAGAACAGGGCAGCATCTGCTTCCCGTCTTTGTTTCAACACTACAATAAATAAGCAAAAAAAAGAAAGAAAGTTATTTTGCATTTGAATCACACGAGCCTGAAATTTTAAAGAATTGCCTGTTGAGTTTAAGACCTGTTGAAAGATCCGATACAGATTATTTCATCTTCATATAACAACAACAAAAACATCAGCAGCACAATATCAAATACCATAATAAATTAAATGACAAAGTCTAATGTTTTCAAATAGGGAACATAAATTAATGACAAAGGAGTGTATCATCTTTGCATAAATATAATCATTGGTTTAAACTACAGCTTAAAATTAATGGCTAAGGAGTAAAGACAACTAGTTCACTAGGATTATTTTACAGTGTTAGGAAAGTAACAGACTTAAAACTGTAATTACATTAGAGTCCATTTTAAATGGTATGTTAGTTATCAGAATTATTCATGTTTTTATCAGTCTAGATTATGAAATAACTGCTGACAGCACTATTTTTAGGGTTTTACCGTGAGTAGCGCATCTGCAGTCAATATGGCAACAAATGACATGCTCATCTCATCAACGCTCTCATTGTCAACAAACACATTTTTAAACATGTTTATTGCTTAATGATGAGTACATGCATCATTTTATGCCATGCAAACTTCTTGCTTTCTATAATGTTCTGAAAATTATGTATTCTGCAGAATTTATTTATTTATAAATTTTAAGAATTGATTGTTTTGGAAACACCAATTAGAATGGGTTGAAAATTATAAACAAATCACCATATACCATCATTTTCCTGTCAAAAAGTGCTTATGAATGTATAGCTGTTCATTTTTGTACAGAAACAATGTTTAATGATAAACATATTTCTTGCTGACATATGTTGTAGAAAATATTTGTGTTGTCGAAAATATTTGTATTGTGAGGGCAAGTAGCAGGCTATATATTGGTCCTACTACCCAGATATATATATTTTTTTTAACTTTATTGTTAAGCCCTGCACAGAATGATCTATGAACGCCACCTGAAATGATAATTACTCTTAAATAAGGTAAGAACAGGGTTTTAGATTACTCACGTTCTTTTTTAATTTTCTCAGACACCAGAAACTCATCCCGTTCAATTGTGGGTGCATAATTACTTCCGATGACCCGCACTGCATACTGGAACTGATGAGCTACGTCAGCTGAGAAGATACACAAACAACAGGTGCATTCATAACTTAAGACTTAAAAAAAATTTAACATACAAAAGCATTTTCATTCATATTCACAAGACACATTTCAGTTTGATAACAGGATCTAAATGAGGATCTATGTCCAAATCTACCGTATATCAAGCATGAAATGGGTGTCTGGTTCTACAGAAAGTCATTAGCTGATAGCAGGGATCATATTCCTGTAGGTCTGCTGTCTCTACTTCTACTAGATCCACTCATGAGCTGCTCATGTCCTGTTTCTGATGTGTTCTTGCAGATCAGGGTTTGATTCACACATACTACTGAAATATGACAGCATCAGTGAGCTGATAACATGTTAAATAAATAATGGCGTTGGTTGTGAACAGGTTTGAATCATCAGGGTCTTTATTGATCTAAAGGGCCATTTGAAACAGGGGCCCTGTATAACCAGCATCTCCCTGATGTTTTGCCAACCTGTTCGCTTACAGCATCTCATCGGTGGAGGAGACCCTCCATCAAATAATCTGTTTTCAACGAAACACCCCATATACTCATCGCTACACATACTGATCATGTTACTAAGCAGCTGTGTGACAGTGATGCAAACGGTTGAGATCTGTTTCTTTACCTTCACTCTTGCCCGTGATCTTACAGCACAGACTCTGCAGAAGCACGTTGGGTGATTTCTGATCAAGAGTCGCCATTGTGCACTTATATATCCCCTCCCGTACGAGCAGAAGCGGTCCGCGGCGTGCTTTTAACCGCTGTCGCTTTTAATACGGTGGGTTTCAGCTGGGAGCAACAACAGCGCCATTTTAACGGAACCCGCCGAAAAGCGCCCACATCGGCATCGGACACTAAACGGAAAACACGGCAACGGTGCGCAGCGGAAAAACATCCGGCTGTAAAGTGAGACTCCGGAAAGCTTTCCTCTCTACAAACGTTCCCTAAACGCAAAATTTAATTAAGTAATTTGTAAATTATTATTATGTTGTCTTTTACTAAACGCTGAAATGGGGTAAATGACTATTTTTGATAAGTGTATGAATGGTGCGCAGGACTATAAACTTTAAATATAGTAACTCTGAATACAAAACTCTGCACTCACACATAAATTATATGATTAATTAATCGTATCGTGATTAATCGTATCTAACATAAAAGTTTGTATATATATATATATCGATTCGATTAATATACACACGCACGCGCGCACACACACACGTGCGCACGCACGCACACACACACACACACACACACACACACACAAATGTTTATGTTAGATTTGATTAATCACAATTAATCGATTTGACAGCACTAATAATTATGAATGATGTAATATTATTTCTTATTATCATCCTTATTACATTTAATGAAGAAGAAAAATAACATAATGAAAAAATGTAGGCCTATAGAGTAAAAAGAAAAGTAGAAATAGTTTAGCTGAATTGATGTAATAAATGGTAGGTATAAGGTATAAGGTCTAAAAACAGGTCCACAAATAAAAAAAATCTAATAAGTAACTCTTTATACTCTTTATAAATGTATACTCATGTAATTTATTTAAATAAATAAATACATATTTGTATTGATTCATAATAACAAAAATGTAGGTTAATAATTATGATATAATATTATAAATAATTGTTCCTTGTTCTTGTTTTATTATTTATAAAAAAATATTATAAAATGATGGCTATTGTATTAAAACAACACACATATTTATTAATAATTGTTAGGTTGATTTCATTTTAATAATTGAATTATAATGATCTTATAATTTGTAAATTTGTATTTAGTATGATAATTTTTGGTTTGATAGCTTCTATTGCTCTCCTCATTTGAAAGTCGCTTTGGATAAAAGCATCTGCAAATGATTGCAAATTATTAACAAAATTACTACTTATTAATTATTGTTGTTGCTTTTATTATTGTTAGTGAATTATTTATCTTTATACTTTCCAAAAAAATTCCTATTCCTCCCCTCCCCCTATAACATTTGAGGTCAGTCATAAAGTCAGCACCATAGCCTGTAAAAAAAATCAATTCATAACACATAATGTAGCCTAGATACATTTAAAATGCTTGAGTTTCTTTGTTAAAGGGATAATTCACCCAAAAATCATGTACTCCCCCTAATGTTGTTCCAAACCTGTATGACTTTCTTTCTTCTGCTGAACACAAGAGAAGATATTTTGAAGAATGTTGGTGACCAGACAGTTGACGGCACCCATTGACTTTCATAATATATATATATATATATATATATATATATATATATATATATATATATATATATATATATATATATATATATATGTATATTTTTTTATTTTTTAGTCCCTTCTATGGAAGTCAATAGGTGCCGTCAACTGTTTGATTACCAACATTCTTCAAAATATCTTCTCTTGTGGTCAACGGAAGAAAGAAACTCATACAGGTTTGGAACAGGGTGAGAGTACATTTGTTTTGGGTGAACTATCCCTTTAAAGCTGATTGTCAGTAACTGGATGGGGGAGTAGCGGGGATGGGGGGCTGTGCAAGCCTGTGGGCGGGAGGGTGTAGCTGCGGAGTGCGCATGCGCTTATGACGCGCCAGATTGGTCGATCGGGAGGGCTCTACTACACCGAGAAGGAGATTGAGTGAGTACGTCAGTACATCAGAGAACAGCCCGAAGGGACGCTCGAGAAGGAAGAAGTGGCCAGTCCCTTAAAATATCAAGACAAAACGTTGGAAAACGAGAGCTTGTTGGTTTTCCCTCAGTTAGTGCATTTACAGGTGACACCGGAGCATGTCACTATGACAACGTTCGGACTTTACATAGTAGCCTTCATCATCTCAGTAGGCGCTCAATAGATAACTTAATAATCGCACGAGTCGTTAAGGACTGTCAATTGTCAATCCTAGAAGAAGATCGAGGAAGACATGGAACAGAGACTTGGTACAATGATCAGCTAGCGTCTTATGTACCCAATCCACAAGATTAGAGGAGAAACCGAAGACAGCAGCACACCTGGAGCGGCTCGAGCAGAATGGATTTCAGCACCATCCGGAACCTCATCACTAGATACGTGAGTAGACACGCGATCACTCTCGACAACTTGTTGGTTTGGTTTGCTCCATTTCGAAGGGCTGCAGTGCTTGTGATACACATTTTTTTTCTAGGCTACTTTAAATCCGCAAATGAGACGTTGTATCTTTATTTGTCCGTGTGTGCATCACTTTTGAGCCTGTCTGTGTCTGTGAATTAATATGTATAAAGCTAGCAATGGACGCAACCGGTATTTATTTACAGTTACTAATCTCAGGCGTTTGTAATGATGTTTTCACTGCGGTTCAATTCCGATCCCGATTGACTGTGAACTGAATTCCCAAGCGAAGTCACTAAATGTTATATTTTAATGCCTCGTGAAGACACCCGCTGAGCTCATGACTGAGAAATCACAGCTTGTGTTATGAAATATCAAAAATGGAAATTGGCCTCAATGAATGAAAACAGGCGCGGACGGAATTGGTCATTGAAAAAGAATGCGAGTCGTTTAGTGTATTTATCAATATAAGACGTTAGTGTAACATGAGTAATTCTTTTTAATCATTAACGTAGGAAGCACCCTATGAAATCCCAAATCTTATGATTTGGTTGTAAAAACATGTTTGATTAAACTAAAATCTAACAGACAATCTAAAAAAGAAAGAAAAAAAATCTAGTTTGAACACGTCAAATGTCTAAATTTCCTCAATTAAAATGGTCATTTTGGCCAAACTATAGTGTTTTAGTCTAGCTGAACCATACATCCTTGCTAGTTACCGTACGAACAGTAATCAAATACCCATTTTTCTTTAATTTAATGGAAATAAAAGTTTATCAATTACCAAACCAACTTTTGCTCCAAATTACATAGATACCGCTTCATTTGGACTGAATTTGCTAATTTTGTTTGTTTAATTCTGGTTTATTTAATTTTTGATAAATATAGCATTTAGTTTGATCTCTTTTATGATTTGTTTATAAAGTGAAAAATCGTTAAAAATATATAAAACCTTATTTTGTACCCTGTTAATAGGAAGTGCTATAAAGGATGAATTTCATGTTATTTTGTGCATCAGTAAAAAAAATGAGAAAAAAAGTAACATTGTTGCTCTACATTGTTTTATTATATAATCAAATCGTTTTCATAGACGGGTCACGGGTTCAATCGATAGTTTACTGCATGCCATTCCTACACAGATTAGACCTGCTTTTAAGCCACTTAGCACTCGGTATAGGCAAGAGTACACGCTAAACCAACTGTCCAAGCTGGTGGGGGTTAGAGAAAGAGATTTACTCAGTACCTGAATCAAATATGTGCAGGTTATGTGTGTCAGCATGTAAGGTTAAAGACATTTTACTATAGACAACATTCACTTTGAGTAGAGTGGCAACTTGTTAGTTTCCTAATTTAAAGACCCTTAGACAAGATACTATTTTCAATTTAGTAGTGGATGTATAAGCCAGATTTTGTGGGTTAAAATCTATTGTACTATATATATATACAATAACTTGAGGATATTATGTAAAATCTATGTACTGCTGAGAGCTTAATGTTAGGACAGTTTCTGATCTTGAATGTTGTAGGCTATTAATTACGTTAGATGCAATGGAACAACACTTAAGTTTATATTCTGACTAAAGGCCCGTTCATATCAAGGACGATAACTATAAAGATAACGATAAATATAGTTCTAAAAATCGTTCTCAATGTTAAAGAATAGCAGAATTCACACCACACAGCTATAACCAAAACGGCACAGAGAAACGATATCATTGGAATCACCTTCAGAACGATTTTATCCAGCTAATGTATCATATATGATAAAAAAAATTGACAGCCAATCAGAATCCATCCTGCTGTAACGAGCTCGAGCATTTAAACTGACTTTAAGCACGAGCTTAGAAATAACAGAACGATATCGTCCGCTGGTGTGGATGCTAATATAGTTATAGTTATATTTATAGTTATCGTTCTTGGTGTGAACGGGCTTTAAGAATATTGGTTGGTGGCTGAAATGGTGAAAAAGCCTGTAAAAATTGCATGAGTATTTAGTTCCCCCATCACTGAAGGCCATATGAATCTGTTATTCTGTACTCTGTCACTGTAATCAAGCTGACATGCGAACAGATGAGCAAAATCTCTTGCGCTGTCTAGACAGTCTGTAAAAAAAAACCTGATGAAAAGATGAAGAGTGTGCGATAAACATGACGTGAGAAATAATGTTCATGTCACAGACACCTCTCACCTGTCTGTTTATGTTTGTGTTTTGTTTGCTCAGGTTTTTACGGTAAACCATATAACACACAGGGCTCAACAACAAGGCCAGAGTGAGAGAGTTTTGGGACGGAATGATTTCTTCAGTGTTATTTTAGTATCATTAGTTTTTATATTTTAAATTACTTTTTATTTGTATATTTTTTGTTTTCATTTTAATTGTTATTATGTGTCCTCAGTCATCTCAATGGCAATAAGTGTCCCAATCAACTTGAATTCACCCCATAAATATCTATATTCTCATCATTATAGATTGTTATTAATTTCTATTTCAGTTTAGACAGTTAAACTAAATGAAATTGAGAAATGTTGCCTTGCCAACTAAACTAAAAGAAGTTTAATTTCTTGTCTATTTTATTTGATTTCAGTTTTAGTTTTCTATAAGTGCCCTGCGCTGCTGCTTGTGTCATTAAATATTAGATTTGTTATTGGGTTTTTATGCCTGGAAAAGATCATTTGACCAGTTAAAAAAAATGTTGACATGGTCATTCAAATTTTTGTATTGTTGAGTTCTGCACACAGTATGGCGAGGTTATGTCAAACATACAAAATTATATTTGCATCAGTGAGGTTTGAGAAAAATGCTTTGTTTGAAATGCAAAGTCTTTCTTTCTAAACTTATCCTGAAAAGTTTCAATATTTATGAAAGGTAAATACTAGGGGTGGGGGAAAAAATCGATTCTTAGATGCATCGCGATGCGGACGTGGACGATTCTGAATCGATTCACAATTGTCAAAAATCGATTTTCAAAAAAAAAAAAATTTTTTTAGATATATATTTATAATAACGTAATATTGACGGAACGCGAAAGACGGAACTCTGAAGCGCGGAAGTGCAGTGGCCGGACCGTCTGTGGCGTGCACATAACAGACGCGGACGCGATGGCTGAGCGCCAAATCCAAACACCCTCCTCGTTAAAAGCTGACGTGTGGAAATATTTTGGCTTCTGAAGTTGAAGGGGGAAAGGAGCTGGACAAGAGCCACACTAGTTGTAAGCTTTGTAGAGTAAAACTAAAATATTTCGGAAACAAGACACATGAAGCCAAATGACACGTTTCCAGCCAGAGGAGGAAAAACACTCGGCTGTAACGTTACCGGTCGTTGTTATATTATTAATTTACTACAAATATGCTGCTGCTAGTTCAGACACACATGTATTTTCCTGTTGGTTCTTTGCAATGTTAATAAAATATATTGTACGTTAATTCTTTATGGGTCATTACTTTGTACTTTTAAAGCAAAGTATTTATAGTCACACACACACAAAAAAAAGATTCTGATAATCGATTTAGCATCGAATCGCAGCCCTCTGAATCGTAATCGAATCGAATCGTGAGGTGCCTAGAGATTCCCACCCCTAGTAAATACAAGTCAATTTTGCTAGAAAACAAGCAGTTCATTTATCCCAGCCTAACCAATCATTTAGATAGAGCTGTGTCATGAGATCGGACGGAGTGTGTTAGTCACATGAGTTTTCCTGGGAGAAGCGCAGTCCACCCCACTGCTCCTTGATCTAATGCATGGTAATGCAGGTTGGCAGAGTGAGAGAAGAAAGGCAAATGAGAGTACCGGGCAGAAGAGAGATGGAGCGAGAAAAGGATGATGGAGAATGAGATGGGTCAGAGAAGATGAGAAATAAGTCCCTGTGTGGATTTGACTGGCTCAGACGACAAAGGAAGTGACAGTGGGATGATTTGCTTTCACCTGTAGTAGCGCTCACTTCAGAGTCTGTCTGCTGAATGGGCATTTTCAATGTAGGAAGATAAATATGAAATGGAAATGTGAAACCTGTTTTAATATGTAAAGCTCATCATTTTTCGTTCAGCTAGAATAGTAGGTTAGATAAATGGTAATTGTTTTCTTCTTTAAAGTCCACTGGAATGTTTCCGGATTAGATTAGAATGTGTGTAGTGTGTATTTTTTTCAGCATTCACATATTTCTAATAGTTTTCAGTATTCAAATAAAAGTAGTCAGTTGTAGATTGATTCTCCCTAGCACAAAGTAAAACTCTGGTGCTTTCAAAACATCCTAACATGGCAACATTTTCAACCAATGGTGTAAGTTGGGATGGGGGACATCTTTTAGATCGACCAATGGCAGATGGAGATAGTTTTTTGAAAACCGTTTTAAATTCAATTTATTGAATTGCGTAATGTCTTTACTGAATATTATGCTGTATGCAAGTGAAATGGTACTCATTATTCCACGATAGACATTTCAAATCTAAGATTTGCTTCGTTACCAATGCATTTTGTGTAAAAATGCCTTAACTTTTGGTAGTTATTAAGAAAGAAATGTAAAAAATTCGTGGTTCTCTTGTATACTGCTATTTTTGACAAATAGTATTCTACATAGATGTAGTACGAAAAAAAATCACCCTATTGCTGCAATATTGCATACTGTCCCATTCCGAACGTAGCGAATTAACTGTTTCTTAGCTGGGTTTTTTTAACAATCTCTTTGATTTAATAATACAGAATAATTGACTTAATACGCACAATTATTTACATGACAGAACTGGTTTCCAGCACGTTATTACTGCACAAAAAGGCAACTTCGAGCCATCACCGGCTTCTTAATTATTTCCATCCTTAGACAGGAAGTAGCATGACTGCCCATATCCTGTCTCAGGAGGCTTCGAGGTAATTTGAGCTCTTTGTACAGAGGTAATCTCATCGTCTGCGGGCCAGCAGGAAAGACTTATTGGAAATCATCTTACATGAGCAGGAATATGTTTCTGCTGGTCAGACAGTGAAGGAACAT